ATACATATACATATACATATATACCTCCATGCCTGGACAGCTATCCATCGCTGCTACAACGAAACTGCCTAAAGATAGACAAATGCACATGGTGTAGATATTTGTGTACATGGCATATACTTGCTGTACTGTAAACAAACACACAACTACAGAAAACAAAATCTTGCAAAACGCCTTTACTGAAGATCCTGTTCGAATGTCAGTTTTTGCCAGGAACCTTCGCAGCTTAGCCCAGAAGAAATCTTCACTGGATCCGTCGAGGAGGGTGTAGTTGAAGTAGTGGTGACCTGGTGCGGGTTTTTAGGTACGGCTTCAAGCTTGTTGTGCTTGTTGCTTGTTTAAATTACGTTTAAGTTTTAAGAGCTTTTTGGGATTCTTAAAGTTGTTGTGTGATTGCAACAAGATACCTCGGAAAACGGACTTGTAGCCAATGTTCCTTTGTCACCCAAGCCCGTGGACCAAGGACGAGAGCTAACTCTGTTCGAGGAGCAAATATGGGGCAACTCAAAACGAAAGGTGCTGGTTGAAACAGCTTGGCATGCTACGACGGTATGCGCATAGCCATGCAAAGAGCCGCTCAACACAAACGTACAAGTGTAATCCGACAGCAACACGTCGTGCTGCACAACAACACAAACGCAAAACAGCAGAACTATACACAACCACACAAATCCTGATATCGCACCTGGCCTCTTCGCTTCTGCTTCTTTTTGTTCGTCTTGTCAGAATCAGCTTTTCCATCCGGAACCTGGGCTTCCGTAACTCAGTGATGTGCTGGTCGCAGCCTTGTCGAAGCCACATGTTCTAAGCATACTACACGTCATGGCAAAACTTCATCCATCTTGCAGGGATGTGCATGACATGACAAGTGCCTATGGCAGTCGTTTGAAAGTGTGGAACCCTGTGTGCACATGACTTCCAAATCCCAACTACTCTCAGTAAAAATTGGGCGCCAAACCTACCGAGCCTTGATACGACTGAGTTGAAGACTGATAAACTTCACGGAACAGCTCCGCAAACGGAGCTTGCTTGAACGAAAATGCTGCCGGGCGACCTGGTACAACTCAACAACGTTCTTTTTTCCATGCTGCTGGCTCGACTCCTTCACCTTGTCGATGATTGCGCTAACCTTGGATGAAAACGCCCGTATTTCAATAGGTTGAAACATCCATAGCGATCGGAAACAAACATTTAAAAGCTTGACTCAACATGTAAGCGACCATGACACATGGAACCAACCGCACCCTGAAGGCCGCAGAATTAAATTATGAGTTTTTTGGTTTCTTCTGTGAGTTTTGATGCGCTTTCAGAGGCGCGACAGGCCTAAGCGCGTGACTGCATTTTTCCTATATGTCTGGGGAGGGGACTTCCGACCTGTGCGTGGGGGCTTGCCATGGCGATTCCGGTACATCACATATCTTAGACACGCCTTCTCATGTGGCGATTCCGGCTCATCATATATATATATATATGTATACATATAGCTTAAACACGCAACCTTCATTTGGTTATTCCGGTTCACCATATATCTTAAACAGGACCCTCCATGTGGCGACTCCGGTTCAACATATATATATGTTTATGCATATAGCTTAAACATGCAACCTCATTTGGCGATTCCGGTTCATGAAATATCTGAAACACACCACCACATTTGGCGACTCCGGTTCATATGTATCTTCAGCAAGCCTCCTTATTGCGTGGCTCCGGTTCATCATATATTTTAAAAACGCCAACTTCACTTGGCGATTCCGTGACATGTCATCATGTATCTTAAACCCATCATATATTTTCAACACACCCCATCTTTTGTTTTTGGCGTTTCCTGCGCACCATATATCTTAAGCACGACCCACCATTTGACGACTCCGGTTCATCATCTTTTACTTTTGTCGACCCCGGCTCGCCATACATCTTAAACACGCCCCACACTTTGGCGATTCCGGTTCATCATATATCTTAAACACGCCCCCTCATTTGGCGATTCCGGTTCACCATATATCCTAAACACGCTCTTTGATTTGGCGACTCCAGCGCATCATACATCTTAAACACGCCGCCCTATTTGGTGTTCGCCATATATTTATGAGATTCTCAGGCATGCACAGATTGTAAATCTTTGAATAAGTATTTCTTCATATAATTTTCATTTCGGTCTTCATTTTATTCTTCATTCTGGGGTTCGCTCTTCATTCAATCATCATTTTAATCTTCATTTCGGTCTTCGTTTTTTCATCATTCCACGGTTCGTCCTTCATTCAACCATCATTTTAATCTTCATTTCGGTCTTCATTTTATCTTCCTTTTCCGCTCCCGCCCCTCCACCGAGCCCCCCCCCCCCATACCCGCGGACGAGGAAAATGAAGATGA